GAATCAAGAGAGAAGAGAAGGGACGAAGTGGAAGCAAGAGAACTTGCCACACAAGGAAAGAAGAATGAAGAAGTGACCAATGAGTCACGTAGGAGAAGAAGAAGCTTGAAGCGCAAGAAAGGTGGAAGAAGAAGAAGCGTGAAGAGCAAGAAAGGAAGAAGAACAGGAAGTCAAGGAAGAAGACGTGGTTGTGTAATAAGAAGTTACACAACAAGAAGAATAAGAGTATTAGTTTGGTTAAGCAAACTAAGTTATGTGTTTGAAGTTAGTGGAAGAGTTGTTGGAGTGGTCAACAACCAAAGCAAGTTGTTTAGCTTTGCTTGTATAGTTAGTCTATGGCCTAAATGTAGAGGCATGGAGTAGAGTAAGGTGTTGATATATAGTGTTTTTAATGGTTTTTAATATTCTTTTTTGATCATATTAGTGTTTTAAGTTGCATTTAGGTGTTTAGATTGCATATTAGGTGCACATATTACATTTGTATTGCATTAGATTGTTCATTTGCATATAACAGGGTTTAAATTGCACTTTATGGAAGTATTGGGTGCAATATGATGTTGACAAGAGATGNTGTTTTTAATGGTTTTTAATATTCTTTTTTGATCATATTAGTGTTTTAAGTTGCATTTAGGTGTTTAGATTGCATATTAGGTGCACATATTACATTTGTATTGCATTAGATTGTTCATTTGCATATAACAGGGTTTAAATTGCACTTTATGGAAGTATTGGGTGCAATATGATGTTGACAAGAGATGAGGGACTCAATGTGCAATTAAAAGAGGGTCTGTTCGCACAATTAAAAAGTCTTGGGGCCGTTTTGTTGAGAAGGCAAAGTCCGGGGACCTGTTTTGCAAATATGCAAGAGTGCACCATTGGAAACGCACGAGCTTTCTTCTCTGCAATCCCACCGGTGGCCACCACGACGGTGAGCACGACCACAGGCTGAGAGCACGACAGCGAGGAGGCACGGTGGTGGCTGAGATTGATGAGCACATGCTCGACCCGGAGCACGAGCTCAGCCACACGGGAGATGTGGAAAGCGGCGGCGGTGGAGAGCTTCGAGCGGCGGTGAATTGCAGCCACGATGAGAGATGTCGGAGTGGAGCTCGAGATGGTTTGGAGCTTGCCACGAAATTGATTCACGGCTACCACGTCTGGATGAACTGAAGACACCGGCGAAGCCTTGAACTGAGATTTTGCGGTGGAGACAAGCGGGAGAGAGCTCGGTTTGGTGACGACGAGAACCGTCGATCTCTGCATCTCCAGCGTAGACTCACAGCGACTTGTTGTTGCGGGGATGGGACATCGCTCGGCAAGAAGCGAGCCTTACAGCGGCTTAGTGAAGCGGGAGGAAGAGACCGCTGTGGAGAAGAAAAGAACCAATCTCAAAATGTTGACCGGTTTAAACCGGTTTGACCCGGTTTAATTCAATTGAACCAAGACGAATTTGGACCTCTTATATATAGTTTTAGACCCCAAAAACCCTAAATTATCTCATTTTCTCTCAAGAACTTGTTTCTAATTGTAAAAGCTTGAATATTTTTATCATTTTAAGGAAATACTTCATCTTATATCTTGTTTCTCATTCTCATTAACATGATTAACCTTGAATCTCATATGGGTTTAAGGTTTATCATAGAGATTTTTGAGTAGACAATTATTGAATCCATGGGTTAGGTAGATTTAAGATAATTAGTGAAGGGTTAAGGTGTTTATTGTTAGATCTATTTGTTTTTATGCTTACTAAGTGTTTTTAATGCTAGATTAGACTTGATCACTCTCATCTAGACCTTAAGCTATTTTATACCCGGAAGGTGTTTGTTAAAATGCTTGAATGAACTTAGTATTGCTCTAAACTTACTTAACCAAAGAGATTTGATATTAAGAAAGCTTAGATGGTTAGTAGACTAAATCATAATGTTTGTTTAGATAACATTCAACTTAAGAGATTAGATGTTTGAGTTATCTTTGCAAAAGGGCATCCATCTTGAGAAAGAGATTGTCTATTGAAGTGTCTAGACCTATAGAGACTTGTGATTGCTTGAAGCTTGCACCTTCACTTGGTAACTAATTGCTTAGATCAATTACCTTAATCCCATGGATTCTACCTTATCATTTGATTAAAAGTAGTTCTTGTGATTGTTTCTAGATTGGATTTGAGATCACCTTTGTTTATATTTTTAGGATCTTAGCTTGTCACAAATCGAACTCTCTATTTGCTTAGATTAGGAAAGTTTGTGTAGTCTTAGTGCTTAGATCACTAGTTCCCTGTGGTTCGACAATCTAAAATACTACAATCGATTTGCTCTGAGGCTTAAAAACCCTTATCAGGTGTGTGTATAGTAGTCAGTGAAAACTACTATAAGTCTGTGTTGTTGTTGTAAGAAAAACATATCCAATTCTAATAAAGAAAAGAGTTGGAAAGAAAGAACAATAAAGATTACTCTCTTCTCTCTACAAGAACAACCAAACAATGAGAGTCAAGAGAGTGTATATGCTTGTGTAATGATAAAACACAAGTAAAGAAATATTGTGTGTGTGTGAGAAAAACAGAGACCAAAAACAGGGTGAGAAAGAGAGGATGGCCGAGAGTTGAGAAGAGTGGAGAGGCCAAGCCAAAATCTCAACAGTATCCCTCTCCGGTTTCTGAGAATTTGCAACTGATTGTTATGTCTATATTATTGAAGATTCATCAGTAGTATAACCATTGCAAATAAGCAAGCATACCAATGAGGATGAATTCGAATCAGAAGGCATTTCACTTAGACCCTAGTGACCTCTTAAGATTCTCTTAACAGAGATGGGTTTTGCTTAAAATGGTCTTCTTACAAGCATATAACCGAAGGTCTTCAATTCAAGATTTGCATCTCTGATGTTTCTTTTTATTTAATCTTCTACAGTATTTTCTCCTTTGGTTGGTTTACACCATTTGGAAAAAAGGAAGATGGAGACTCTCATAGTTATAAAGCACATGTTTAGTCAATTGTTGAAGAAAGACTCTTGATGAGGTGGAGTTATAAACATTGTTGATAAAAGATAGAGCCATTGTTTTATGCTCATCTTTTTCCTCAATCAATCACTCCGCTGGTTGATGAGAGATATACGTTTATACGTTAAGTCACTCTCACAACTCTTTTATACGTTTCATAACTTAGAGAGTTAATCATCAATCTTCTATATTAAAAGAGAAGTACCATTTATATCTACTACAAAAAGTCATACTGGACCATTTCATTAATATAACATATTTGATTATTTATATTAATCAACCAAATATAGATTACTGAAGAAATATTTTAATAATATATAACTATAAAGAATATAAATTAAAGTAAATATTGTTTTAGACAACTCTTTTATAGATTGTAGATCTTACCAAGAAATTTCAATATTTTTATAAAATATATATTATTTTATTTCGTGATTAATATATATATATATATTAATGTTAATTAAAAATAAAAATTGGTATATTTTATAATTTAATGATTTTCTATATTATATTAAAATAAAATGTTATGTGAAATTAATATAAAAATATATTAAATTGGTAAAGAAAAAAATTTTATTTTAAAAATTTCTTTTATTCACTGTTAAAACATAAATCTTTTAAATTCATGTAATATTTTTATACAAAAAATGTTGACATATATTTTTGTAATTCACAACAAATACATTATCTAAAAAAATATATTTGATATTTTTTAAAAATGACAACAATATATTATATAAAATAATTAAAATAATAAGATTATATAGTTATACAATATAACAATAAAATGTAAATGATATATCTGAAAGATTTTGTTATATTTTTATAAAATGAAAAATTACCCGCACGGATGTGCGGGTTCAAATCCTAGTTTAATTTATTATTTAACAGCATAACAATCTCTCGTTTTTTTTTCAAAAAAAAAAAGTCTCTCGTTTTTCGAACTTTCAAACTTATCTAAATGTAATCCGATTAGCAAATTACAAATGGAGGAATCTAAAGTATAAACAACATAAACCGAAAAATGTGAATATGGTGAAATTTAAGAGCACCTCCGAGTCATTAGGGAGTTAGATAATCAGTAGGTCCCACGAAAAGTTAAGAATTTAATTCTTAAAATCCTTAAAGAAGAACTGTTTTTAACGAATACTTACACTATTTGCCGGTCTCCATGACATGTGGCAGTTCGCGAATGGTCATCTTTTTTTTCTTAAAAAAAAAATCTGAAATATCCTTACCAAATTTGAAATATCCTTTTTCTTAAGGATTCCAACGGATAACACCGTTGGAGATGCTTAAATAAACAAGACATGGATTTCGAGTCCTATAAAAATGATGTCAAATTAATAAATAAATAATCACATGAAATTTTAGAGAATTGTCAGACGTGGATTTTCATTAAACGGTTCAAAAATGGTGAAAGTAAAACCTTAACATGTTAATCTCATAAGATGTATTTGTCAACAGTGTTACCCGTTGGAGTCCTTAAAAAGAAAAAGAAAAAATACTAACCAATTGGGAGTCACCATGTGTCATGGAGACCCGTAAATAATGTAAAGATTCGTTAAGAAACAGTCCTTAACTTTTTATAGAATCTACTAATTATTTAATTAGTTTTTCCTTATGATTTTCCTTTAAAGATTTTTGTTGGCCATGCTCTAATATTTATAATTTGTGTAGATAATAATCAGTGTAAACAAAGCTTTCAACCTAAATTTTTTTTTGTAACACCAACGTTCAACTTTCATATTTATGTACATATGTAATCCTAATTGCAGTTACTAATGATAATGGAGGACTATAAATATAAACTGGAAGATACAGTTGCCTATTTGAGAGTTAAAACTGGAAACTTACCGTTGACTTGTTGTAGCAATTGAATTACAAAAGGAAGTGAAGAAAAAAAAAACAGAGCAACAAATCCAACATCACCAACAAAACACACAAACCGTGTATCTATTTGTCTTATTACTCCTTTCTTCTGCTCTTTTCTCGATCCTAGAGAATGGCTCCGAACAGTTTATCTTCCGAAGACTTTAGTTTTCCATTGCTTGCTTCCCAAGATTCGTCTCAAATTTCCGACTCAGATACACCTCCACTGTGGAAATACTCGCCGGAGAATATTCTTCGGGGAGATGACGGGAGATCAATCCTCGGAAAATGCGACGATGAAGATCGGAGGAAGAGCTTCTCGTATGTGGAAAGGAGAAGTAGTCTTGGGAGCGTTATTGCGGAGGAGAAAATGGATATGTTGTGGGAATATTTCAATGAAGAACTACTGCCAACGAGAAGCCAGAGTCTTAGGAACGAGCCCGGCGAAAGCTCCGTCGTGTTCGTGGAGCGCGGTATGAAGTTAACGAAGACGAAGAAGAAGAAGATGAGTACGAACGTGTTGATGTTGATGAGGGTATTGAAGAAGATTCTTGTTATGCGGAGGAGTTTGTCTCAGAGATCACTGGCGAAAACTCATCCACAGTGAGATCACACGGTGATAAATTTAGATTGAGGCGTTTTATGTAGATTCATAAATTAACAGGGCTTTTGTTGAGGAACAAAAAAATAATAGTCTAAAACAAAAAAAAATACAATTGCAGTTGGATTGTACAAACAATTAATTTTGCTGACCTAAGTTTTAAGAATATATATTTGGATTTTGGAGGTTTTTTTGTTCGTCTTGTTTCTTCTGCTACTGAGTATGTATGTATGAATTTATTTGGTGAAAAATGGAAGTGGTTAGAATAGGAGAGACATATTTATTTATCATTTCACCGCCGGAAAACTTTAAAAACATTCCATTTGTGTTGATTTGAGATTTCGCCCTATCCAAGTTACAACACCCTCTGAATCATAAACAAGTTTCAACAATCAAAAGGGGCGATCAACGTTTCCCTTACCCTCTAACAGAACAAGAGGTTTCAGATCTTGCAGTAGTCAACACCCTCTAAATCACATAGAAGGTCTGTCCAAAGAGCAATCGTTAAGTCTTCGTCTACGATAATCTAAAGAACAAGAAAAAAACATAAGCTGATTGATTGTCTTTTGAAATCTGAATCTAACCCCTCTCTCAATCCTCCAAATCAAACTCTCAGATCGTTGAAATATGGATTAATCTCGCCGTTAAAACTTCCCGATGTTGCATTCGGTGATGGCTCCGTCACGGAACCTAATCAGAGACGAAGAGCTCGGAGTTGTATCAGACGGCGACGATTCTCCATCTGGAAAGCGATCAAAGCTCGATCGGTTTCCTCTTAGCAGATGGGAACTCGCGGTGTCTCTAGGCGTCTTCCTCGTCTTCTCCTCTGGACTACTCTGCATCTACATCACCATGCCTGCCGCTGAGTTCGGCAACCTCAAGCTCCCACGAAGCATCTCTGATCTCCGCTTGCTCAAGTAAACAATAAAGACTCTAACTTTATTATCAGATTATCAATATTTTGATGAATGCTGAGTTTCTTGATAGTGTCAATGTCAAAACTTGAAAAGGGTATCTTGAAAGTTGTTAGAGTTGTAATCTTGTTTTGGTTTCAGAAAGTGATAAAGGTTCAAACTTTGTTATAGGATAATCGTTATTTGGATCAATTTTGAGCTTTATGATAGTGTCAATGTCAAAACTGGAGAAGGGTATCTTGAAAGTTGATAAAGTTGTAATCTTTTTGGTTTCAGAAGTGATAAAGGTTCAAACTTTGTTACGGTTAATTGATGATAAAGGTTCAAACTTTGTTATAGGTTAATTGATGTTTTGATCAATGTTGAGCTTCTTGATAAGTGTCAATGTCAAAACTTGAGAAGGGTAGCTCATGTTTCCAAAGTTGTTATCATGATTTGGTTCAGAAGTGATAAAGACTCAAACTTTGTTATAGGTTTTGATCAATGCTGAGCTTGTTGATAGTGTCAATGTCAAAATTGGATTAAGGGTATCTTGAAAGTTGTAAACTTGTTTTGGTTTCAGGGACAATCTAGCAAACTATGCGAATGAGTACCCGGCGCAATTCGTTTTAGGGTACTGTGCCACCTACATTTTCATGCAGACGTTTATGATTCCAGGGACTATATTCATGTCGCTTTTGGCTGGAGCTCTCTTTGGGGTTATCAAAGGTGTGGTTTTGGTTGTTTTCAACGCAACGGCAGGAGCTACTTCCTGTTTCTTTCTGTCTAAGTTGATTGGGCGGCCATTGATTACTTGGCTATGGCCTGACAAGTTAAGATTCTTTCAGGCTGAGGTAGAGCTCCTCTTTTGTTTAAATCAGTTACCTTTATGAGAAACTCTTCATTTGGGGGTTGTGATGATTGCTTGTGTGTTGTACAGATTGGTAAGCGTAGAGATAAGCTTCTGAACTATATGTTGTTTCTGAGGATAACACCAACACTGCCAAATCTGTTCATCAATTTGGCTTCTCCGATAGTCGATGTGCCTTTTCATGTCTTCTTTTTGGCGACATTGGTCGGTCTTATTCCCGCAGCTTATATTACCGTCAGGGTAAAGCCCTTTTGCTCCTTCTCCATCTCTCATTCTGTGTGATTCCTTTCCTTTTGGTATATCTAAGTAGAGGTTGAATATTTGGTGTTTGTAATTGCAGGCTGGACTTGCTATTGGAGATCTCAAATCGGTGAAGGATCTGTATGATTTCAAGACATTGTCTGTGCTTTTCCTCATCGGGTTTATCTCTATTCTTCCAACAATACTGAAAAGAAAGAAGATATATGAATAAACCAAGGAGAAGTATCTTTACAATACATAGGCTTGGCTTAACCTTTGGATGCCGTAGAGGCCTTACAGAGAACAAGAGAGTACACTTTTAACTTGTTAAAGGGACACAACAATGTTTGATTCATTTACTTGGCACTTTGTCTATAGTTTTTTTGTTGTTGCCCATTTCAAAATCTGAGAGACCATCGAGCAATTGTTGATGCAATTTTGATCCAGATTATTTACTATCATTCTTGTTATATCTTTTCGTCCGAATAATTAATGCATAAGAAACATAAACTATAAATTAACTCATTCTCTTAGAAAAATTGAAGCAACTCAATTCTCAACAACAAGCTATACTATCTGCAAAACAACAGATTTAGTTCAGCAAAAGTTGAATACACAAATTCAAAGTTAGGTCAACTTGAAACCACCACCAACAGGTTTGTGTAACTCTTAGGTCTGGCTAGGCACAACTTGAATCACACCTGGTTGTTCTGCAGCACCCAAAAAAAAAAAAAAAATCAGAGCAAGAAAAAAAATAAAACACTGGTCAATTATCTTGATTTTCCTAAGCCTATAATGACTATATGATTCTGTTTATACTGGTTTGAAATCTCATGTACCTATCTCAACCTCAAAACATTATTGTGAAAAGGGATCTACATCACTACATCAGTTGGATCAGCAAAAGTTTTTCTCATATGTTTTTTCTTTTAATGTACACACAAGTCAGGGGCGGACCGAGAAATTTACAAAGTATGGAGTACACAATATAATTTATATATAAATTAGGGGTATATAAATAAATTTAAGATTAATTATTAAAGAAAAAATAAAAATGAGTGTGGGCCTATGCCACACCCTCTTCTTAGCTGGGTCCGCCCCTGGCACACAACTAATCAAAACCATGTAATAGATGGAAATATACATTTCATTATTAATCAGCTAAAAAGACTTTTTGTCATTTTAGTTTCACATTTAAAAAAAAAAAAAAGACTGAAAAATAGAACAAACTAAACCCTCTACTCATTTGTTTATTTAAGTTTTCCCCTCTCAGCTTATTTTAAAGTTTAATACGCCTCAAAGCCAAGTACGCTAATATTCTATAACCAACAAACATGAAAAACAAAACGCCAACGCTCGTCCATAGCCCAATATCTCCAACCACTTCCTCCTCCATAAACCTACACCCATCAGTCCTCGCCTCTCCTTGTGTTCTCTTTGACTCGCATCCGTACATCCCCAATATCTCTTCACCATTTCCATATTGGATCGCGATCATTAGACGGTAACAATAAAACGTCGTGGAAACATATTTCATCCACACCATTCCAGATGGCACTTTGTTAACGTAGTAACCGCCGGTTAAGACAAACGCCAGCATCGTCACTGTCACAATCGTGGATGCTTTTTTAGCATCCATGATGGTTGCGCCCAGGGCAAGTCCGAGTCCCTGAGAGGCTAAAACGTATAGCAATAGCACCGAGAGGGTGAGGAGGAAAGGGACTATCCCTGGACGTAGACCAACCATCCAATAAGTTAGCGTCAAGAACGCTGTCGGGAGAACGAGTTCCATGGAGAGCGATCCGAAGACGTGAGCCATGAAGTAGGATGAGAGTGTGTACATACCGGACGCGCGCTCTCGAGTGAAGATGGCGCGTTCTTGTGGAAACGTGAAAACCGCGTTAAATGCCGGAAGTACCCCCCAGAATATGGATATGAAGAAGAGTAATCCTAATCGGTCCTGTAATAACAACGTTACTGTTAATAAAAATGTTGTTTTCGTTGTTATGTCGGGTTAATGATGTTTTATACACTTACATGTACGTCTCGAAAATCGGAATGCCACCACATGAGACCAGAGAGTAATGAAGCGGCCACGACTTGAAAAACACGAAGTGCGTCGAAGGATTCGTGGCGCCGTTCTTTTATAAGTCTGTGAAGGAGAATGCAGAGCTGGCTAAACCATGTTGTGAGGCCAGACGCTATTCCACGGACGTTTATTCGCGTTTTCACAAAACGCGCGTTCTCTCGAGGAGGTGTTGCGTCCATGTAGGTTTTGACGTTTGGGGCTAGCAATGTATTGTAGGCAACGGCCAGTGTTTGTCTCACGTTTGGCTTTTCCCGTTCCGTTACACCGTCAATCTGACAAACACCTGCACATGCAAGTTATAAAACCCAATCAGCTTAGAATTAGATACATTACGTATTAATCAATAAAGTGTGGATAATTTCGAGTCTAACCACTAGTGCATAAACAATATAATTATGTTTTGTGCATAACAAATATCTGACTCGCTACTGATATTATAAATTATTATAAATTAACAACTAAAGAGATTCAGGGTGGTTGATTTATTAATCAACTAATACTTTCATCTCTTAAACTATATATTAATGAAATTGAAGCACTCAAGTTGTCATCCAAATAGGGGAAAGTTAATTGGACGATGTAACAATTAATTAAAGATCCTAAACATAAAAAGGAGAAGACAATTCAATGTGGGACTGAACCGAGTAGAGGTGAGGTCCGAATCAACCAATCGTCTTCTTTGGACCAACCAAACAAATACATTTTCTTTTGGACACCCATTTGTTTATTAATATAAAAAAGTAAATATTTGTTTATTAACAAATTAACTAATAAACGAGTAATGGAGATCAGATTTCCAGTAAAGCTGACCCAACCAAGGTGGAGAGACGAGAGAGTCCACCCAAGAAAAGCATAAGGTGGCCACTACGGTTCTTAACGTTACCTTCATTGATTCCACTTTTTAAAGATCTAGAAGCTTGAGAATCAAGTCACAGAGTATTTGAATTTAACTTTCGATGCGATAAGACGAATAGTTATTAGTTCTTAAACGTGTTAAGCTTTACTTTTCTTACTTATCAATAAGATTATCAAGAGGATAAACATACTCTTGGGGAAGAAAAGTCAGAGAAAGTCAATAATAAATGAACAATGCACTAGTCAAGCTAAGTAAGTACTCGACAAGTTTAGTCATCAAAAGTCACAAGCCAGCTTTTAGAAACGAAACGATGTTGGAACAGAAAATTTAATTTATGTTGTTTTTTTCTTTCAAATTGATCAATAAGTTAGGGCAAGTGGAGTTTACTGTGTTGTACTTTGACGCAGAAAGCAATATCTAACATTTTCTGATGAAAATATAACAAAAATAGCGGACAACTAGTCAAACAATATTCTTCCTTAGTAGATCATGTGACTATCAACTTTCCAGCCATGGAAAATTACATAGATATTTTTAAGTTTCTATAAACTTATCCGGATCTGGAAGAATCTTACCCATCAGTCATACCCAAAAATTTATTTTTATCTAAACAAAGTTTAATTTTAAAAGAAAAAAACCATATTACCCGAAAAACTGATCTATTTCCAAATGTGTACATGAATATCCATTTTAACTGATTATGTAAATAAAATAATAATTCTTTATTAGTCGGTTTGAATTCTTTTATTAATATAATAATTTTCTTTAGGCATTTGAAATTATTATGGTTGACACGTAAAACAAATGACGTCAAATTATTATGGTAAATAATTAGTGAAGTAGTTTGAAAGCGTAAAAATATAAAAGATATAATAAAATATTTAAAAAGTAATTTTTGTTTTATACTTTTATAATAAATTATGTCAAATTATTTGCAAAGTATCAATTAATGAAATAGGTAAGATGAATGAAATAAAAAAAGTAAAAGTTGTTATAAATTTGTTGAAAATAAAGTTAGTTCTATTTTGTAATTCAATATTAATAATATAGATGTAACCACACAATACATATATATGTATATATACATGAATAGATCGAATATTCATGTGGAGGGTTCATGGTTGGTCCAATAAAATGGGACTTTTTCATGAAGATAATAATACAAATAAAAGTTTTTTTTTTTGCTAAGAATACAAAGAAAGTTTGAATGTCAAGCAAGCATATGGTTAGTGAGACAGTACTTAGTGTCCATCAAATTTTATTAACTAAGATCTAATACTAAATAATATGCCATCGTGCGTCACAAACTATTTCTATGTGCCATTTTATCCCTTATAATTATTGTGTTCTTACCCTACCTTTGCGTCACCAGAGTAAACATTACCATGTGCGTGGATATATACACATACAATTGTACGTACATATGTGTGTTATCGTTAATAACACCAAACAGAAATGGAAAGTCAACGCCGAAGACCAATACAGCCAGTTTTGTTTGGTCTTGGGTAACACAATTTGTCATAGCTCCAATGCAATAATCCCAGTAAATCAGTCGTGTGTATGTGTGACGCATGTCCCTGGCTAGCTACCTAGCAATATTATATATATATATATATATAGAGACCATGTATGAATGATTGCCACGGCTATCAATTTGCTAAATTATTAAACGAACCTAAGTTTGGTCAAGATTTTTGATATGCTATTGCCTGAAACGTCAAAACATTCGTACCATTTTCTGGTACTTACTTCCTTGTTTAGGATAAGACAAGGACAATTTGGAATAAATTAACGTTACCTATGGATCTGATTCCTTAGGTTAAAAGGTTGTGATTTCATTTTCCTATGCACGTAAATTACAAACCCATGACGAATTCTTGTAGTAACGATAAGGTTCAAAAAACATTGAAAATGAGTTAAGAATAAGAATATCCAGTTCCCAAGGAACTGGTATTTAATGTTTTGATGTGGATCTAGAGAGTGGAAGTGAAAAGCACAGGCTAGATGCGAGAGTGTGATTGGGTTCTTTTAGGCGGTTAACCATTGAAGCAAAAGTTTCCTAAATCAAGGATGCATGCAAACACGGAACTGCAGACAACTCAAAACCAGAAAAAAATAAAAGAGAGGGTGAAAAGTCTACTTTGATTGAAACACTGAAAAAGAAGGTTGTTATTATGAGTTGTCTTGAAAAGGAATTACTGGGAAAGAAAATGATAGTAGAAGAGATAAAATGAAAAAAATAGTTTGGTTAGTGCAACAAATCTTTTTTATTTTTTTACTGTTAAAAAAACAAATCTTTTTATTTTTATTTTTTTAAACAAATAATTTTATTGGCAAAAATTGTATAAAGAATAAATAGAAAACATTAGAATATGATTAACCCCGATTTCTGTGAGTGAAGTTCTTAACGGAAGTTAAGAAACATTTTTTTAACTTCCACTAATAATCCTATCCAAAGAACTCCGGATTAATTATAGTCTTATACAATCCCATTAGACACATGGTGGTTTCCTACTAACCTTTACTAAAATAAAGAGCATTTTCTTCTGTTTGTTATCCCAAAGAAACAAAATAAAAAGCGAAGTTTTAGAAAGTGTAAATGTATAATGCGATAAGGTTCTTATATAAAAGTAAGGAATAACATTTATTCAGATGATATAATATGCCAAAGTTGAAACCCAAAAATCTGTGGCATTTAGGAAAAGAGAGAAAGAAAGAACGACAACACGTATCCCAATTGCCCATAACACAAAAAGCCACCCTTCAATTATCAACTTTACTTTAAAAATTAGTATAAACTTTAGAATAAACAATTATTAGAAAAATATGCTAGATAAGTCCTCTTTACCATAAAAGAATAGGGTATTTAAGTATATTTACTACTAATATCTTTTTGACAACAGCATTTACTACCAATACGCTAGACTAATGTAATACTAGTAGATTAGCGTGTTGTTTAAGCTTCAAATAACAAAGCTATTACAAAATAATTAACAGCCATCACAAAAGAGCCGACGAGAGAAACATCGTAGCACAGAAAAAAAAAATCTAGCATAGACTTTGTATAGTTCTCATCGTACGTAAGCGATAATGATAATAAATATGGCATTTATTACTCTCTTTGTTTCGGGGTCGAGCTGTTATTTTCATAGTAGTATTTTTCTATACAAATATCTAACCTCCTCACATGAATATTTATGCATGGTTACGGAAACAAGGATCCCTATACGTACGTATTACAATTACATACACGAATAAGGCCACCCAAAACCGGCCCCAAAGGACAATTTCATATTTAAAAGTTATTTTTGTCTTATCATCACTCAATTCATGTGAGATTACACACAAACTAAAACATACATACCTATAGGTCTAATCATAATATTCAATCAAATACTTAATCATGATATATGTTACTAATAAGTAGTAATGCGTGTTAGTGTTACACTCTAGACATGAAAGTCATGATGTTAAATAATTAAAAGCTGAATTTCAAAAGGGAACGTACCGTTAGCAAGATCGAGAAGGAAGTCAGCCGGATTCATCGGAAACGCCGGCGAGAACCCGACGGAGTCAAAGTAAGCCATGGCGTCTCTTCCTCTACCAAAGTACAAACACCTCCCTTCACTCAAAAGCAGCACAGTATCAAACATCTGAAACACACGGCTCGACGGCTGATGAATAGACGTCACAACCGTCTTCCCTTTCCCATGAGCCATCCCAGCTAGCGTCTGAACCAGCCGTAGAGCCGCCGTCGCGTCAAGCCCCGACGTGGGCTCGTCAAGAACCAAAAGACTCGGGTTGATGAGTAACTCGTGAGCAATGCTCACACGTTTCCTCTCACCACCCGAGATACCTCTAATAAAAGCGTTCCCAACCACCGTGTTCTCGCATTTCTCGAGCCCTAGCTCGGAGATCACCGACTCAGCGGCTTTTATTTTATCGTCTCTGGTTAGACTCCGAGGGAGACGGAGCAAGGCCACGAAGATTAGGGTTTCACGTACGGTTAAGTGTGGGTAGAGTAGATCGTCCTGAGCCACAAAACCGGTGCGTTTTAACGTTTGTTTCGTTGGTTTAGTATCGTTCATGAGTATTTTTCCGGTGAGGCCTGGTCCATGGAGTCTCCCTGCGACCGCGTTAAGCAACGTTGATTTACCACTTCCCGATGGTCCAAGAACGGCCATAAATTCTCCGGGTGTGACCATTCCGGTGACTCCGCTAAGTATCGTCCTCTCCTCCGTTGATCTAGACTCATCGGACGGTCTGTGTTCTAGTCCCAAGAACTTTTTTATTTTACTTGAGTCGCCGTGGAGTTTCACTCGGTAACATACATCGACAAACTATAAAACAAGAGTACGAGTTAACTCCAGAGTCAAGAACAAATGAGTGTTTGTGTTATAATACCTTGAGGGTGATTGGTAATAATGAGCGAGGATCTTGAGGGAGACAACCAGTTAAATCTGGACCGTTGATTTGATTTTCAACACCGTCAAAACCTGACATTATTGTTTCTTCCTTTTTTCTGACGGTAAACTTAAACGGAGTTAGAGACAGAGAGAGAGGTGAGTATGGAGAGGGCTGAAGGTCGGGGGTGAGTTGCTGAGAGCTCTATTTAAGGAGAAGAAGTGGGAGGAGAAAGCAAGTGGATGCCACGTCAGCAAAGTTATGGTTATTTAGAAAATAACACGTGGCATAAGTATAATGCCAGCTGGCTATTGCTGAAAGGAATCGGGGTCGTTGGAAAAAAAAAGTTATTTTATTTTTTCCTTCTTTAGTGTACTTTAAATTCTCTTTATTTTCTTTTTTTTTTGGTCAAAAAATTCTCTTTATTTTCATGCCTTTCTTTTGTTATTGTGTTTCTTTCTTTCATTTCGAATATACATCTCCTCTCTTTACAGAATACTTATTTTTATTAAGTGTTTTCCACTCCAATTGTCAAATTGAGAATCTCCTGATATATATTATCGACCTAACCTGATTGCTGTGTAATATAATCAAATTTTGTCAACAAAATGTATATTATCATATATATCAGATGATGTCTTTAGTTTCTTCTTCTAGTTAATTATGTCTGTGTTAGCTAACTTAGCTGGCTTCTTGTTTTCATTTATAAATTGTTAAGGCACTAAAAACACACCCAAAATATTGTATATAATGAATAATTTTTATATATGTGTGTCTCTATATAATTAAGAAAACTTTGAAAAAGGCAAATATTTTCAGCCAGAAATTCTCTTATACAACAAATGTAAATGGTCTATTATGATATATATATATATAGAAAATGGTCTATTATGAAATATATATATATATCAGTATCTCTTACAAATTATCTATTTTAAATGAAAAGTGATAGAAAGGGAGAAATTTAAATACATTTCCCACCAAAAACTATTTTACTAAAAAATATTTTCATCTGAATCTTTAAATTTTGTCACTGACAACAAAATATGTCATTAAAAATTAACCTAAACTAAAATATTTACAACAATGTTATTATACGTAATGTAACCTTTATATCTAAACACACAAAATGGTTAAATTGACTGATAAATGTAATAAATTAATATATGTTTCCAAGAATTTTAATTAGTTAATATATTTAAATAATTTATAAAACCTACCATTATTTAACCCAAAATTAAGTACCTTATTATGAGAAATCTCTTATAAAATAAATTAAATTTATAATGTGGTAAAATCCTAAAACAGTCAATAATCAAAATTACGTTTAAATGGTATGTTTTTTTAACACTTAGAAGACAAATGTTGTGTTTCTACATATATTAAATACAAAAAAGTTTTTGACACAAATATAAGACCTTAAAAATAAAAATGCCAAAATAGAATTAAATATTTTATAAAAAATAAGTAAATATACACTTATATCATTAACTAATCATAGACTTTTTTTGTTTACAGTTAAGGAGAAGAGTTTTGGGATTAGAATTTCAAATTTTTAAAAATAAAAATACTTATATTTTTTAAAATAAAAATGTTGTCTTAATCATTTTAGTTTTTGAAATCTATTTTTATGATAAAAACTTAAAAATATCTATTTGAGAGAATTGCCCAGCATAAAATTGACAAAAAAAATTGTGATTATTTCTTTTTAAACTAACAGTAGTTCACTAAAATTTTTTTTTGTGAAATTTGCATTTTATCATTATCTTAAAAAAAATATACAGAAAATCTTTATATTTCTTAGAATAACTTTTTTTGTACGAAAGTTATTTTCCAGAAGCTGAGTGAGTATTAAATATTATTAAACTAGGTGTTTTGCCTTCACATGCGGGCATAATTTCTGTACAATTTATTATTAGTCTATATTTTATTACTTCAAACCAATATAATAAGTTATGATTTATGTTTTAAAATTAATTATAAATGACAACACTCATATAAGAAAATATTTTTAAAAATATATTTTTACAAATTTATTTCTTTAATTTATTTTAATTATAATTTTTTCTATCTTAATTTATTATTTCTATAATAATAAATATATTTTCAAGATAATAATATAATACATAAGAACTTATTTTCTCAAAAAATAATTTTTAATAGAATTCGTTTTTATTTTATAATAAATTTTATATGAAATTATTAAAAATATGACAAATAATCAAAATTATCTAAATCATGGAGAAATTACAAATCAGATAATTCACTTAAATTTTCTAATAGAAAATATATGTTCAAGATAACAATCTAATACATAAGAATTATCTTATTTTTTAAATCTAGTATTATTAGTATACATTCGTTTTATTATTTAATAAATTATATATGAAATTATTAAAATATGATAAATAAGCAAAATATAAAACCATGGAGAAGTTGATAAATCAACATTTGCTTTCTTTATATTTAAATATTAATATTTTAACTTAATTTTTAATTTCTATGATTGTTTTTTAAATATATTTAAAGATAACATAATAAATAAGAATTATCTTATTTTCTAAAAGTCTAATATTATTAATAGAAATTCATTTTATTATATGATAATTTATTCATAAAATTATTAAAAATATAACAAATAAGCAAAATTACAAAAATCATGGAGAAGTTACAAATCAATCTGTAAATTCACTTGATTTTGTTAATAGAAAAATATATTTTTAAGATAAAAATTTAATACAAAATAATTCACATATTTTCTAAAATATAATATTATTAATATAAATTCATTTTTATTAAATAATAAATTATATATGAAATTATTTAAATAAAGTAAATAAACAAATTTACTTAAAATCAAGGAGAAGTTCACAACTAAGCAAATTTACTTCTTATATAATAGTATAGATATAATAGTATGTATAGATCTCAATTAAACTTAACTGAACATCAAAATCTTTCGACTCAAACGAAAGAAAGAAACTCATGGATGGAATAGAGCTATCCGAATGTTCCTTAAAACTGGTGGATCAATTCGATTATGAAGATGACAACCCGATAAGAACAAAGATGTGCACCCAAAAGAAACATATATAGCTGTCTTAATATTCTTCGTGGCTCAAATTGATAAAAGCCAAAGGACGTGTTAGGACACCATTTGATACTAATTGTTTTTTTGGAATAAACCTAAAACATATGCGCATAATTGTAATGATGTATTGTACGTCCTATCTATTCGTGTGATCAAGTTAAATCTGTGCATGCACTGGTGAAGAAGACGAACGTTTACGAGGATGTCCGGTGTGGTGCGTTTCAGAGCCGTCACGACACCGTTCTCAATATTCTTTGCTATATGGAAATATCCCCTTATTGAGTTTGGCCTACAAGCGTTAACCACGTGACTGTGATTTGTAAAATATAACCAAACTCTCTCAAAAGTCAGAGGTCGTATAAGAAGAAAAAGGATAAGATTTCTCGGGATCATTTAAGTACTTGGGCACAGACAATCACATCAGTAACTACAATGCATGATGGCTTAGATCAGTTTGTAAGAAACTTCACAGTTTCGTCTTTCTACGGTGGGTCCCATTGGTGAACTGATGACGGAGACACGTGATGACTGATGACGCACTCAACATTGTCTTGTCAACTAAGATCCATTTCTGTGTCATTCATCACTGTATGTGTGCGTCACTTTGCTACTATCCTTTCTTCGAAGATGGGTTTGTTCTTGCTGATCACCTTCCACGACGGCGCATGATGAAACTCGCCGTGTTAAAGTAAATGGAGTATTTATTTATTTTAGAAGTGTACACAGAATATGGACCACATAATCCACTTATATATCCATGAGTCATGACGTACGAACGAACAAGCATCCCCTTCTCACATCTACTTTAGAGTATACGTTATCATATGGCAATTACGTCACGACAATCATATTGTTAGTTTCTTTCCTAAACATAGACCATAACTTCTAAGTGTAACATTCGTTTGAAAAAAGAAGCCTCGACGTCTACGGTCTACCATTACCTCAAATTCCTCATAAATTACATTTATTTGTGTTTAAATTTGAAGATTGGAGTATAGTTGTGAAACCAATATCAAGTAAGTGAAAACAATGGTGATGAAAGTGATGATACACACCTATTGACAATCTAGTGACCACACAACACGTTTTTGGCGGTTGAATGCTGCCACGCATGAGAGTTTTAAGCTCTTGAACAGATTTGTCATATCATTTGTGGGGCCTAGTTTTGTGTATGTTTCTTGATTCCATATTATCTTTTGATTGTGCTTTTAATGGAAAGAGATGTGAATATGTTAATCTTTCTTGGCTATCGTGGAGATCTTTCTACAATCCATATGGATCACATAGGTAGAGGCATAACAATAAGACTTGTAGTCAAGTACACAAAGGAATCGAGAAAACTCTTTTGCAAAAGCAGAGTTTGAGAACAATAGCGCCATGAAAGAATCAATAGACATTGTGAGATCATAGAAGGTTTGCTGGAACTGAAAGTATTCAAACAAAAACTTCCGATTCCAATCAAAGTTGTAAAGAATATATATTATTCGAGCGTCAAAACAGCCAGCAAAGAAGGATGAATAAACAAGGAAAAAATATACTTTCACCATAACAATAAGCATAAAAAAAAAAGCAAGAAACTCTCTTGCAGAGGCAGAGTTTTGAGAAATCATAAAAATTATTCAAAAGCTGAGAGAGACTCAACCAGAAGCGGTCTTCCTCTGCTGGAAGACAACAGCAAAGATGGGAACTCCAACACCAATACTGAAAGCGGTGAAGACACCGAGAGACATCTTGAGACCTTGGTACTTCATGCGGTCCAAATTGTACATGTGCTTTGCGTGGAGGTAGTATGGCTCGTCATGCCCATGCCCTCCTCCTCCGCTCATCTTCTTAGCTCCCGTCGAGTGGAAACTTCTGCTCACTTTTGATTAAAAGCTTTTATTTTTAAGGAACGTAGTACTATATGACTGTGGAATCTTTTATAGAGTAATCAAAACTAATTTTGAGCATAGAAAATTTAATATCTGATTCAATCATTTTTTGTTTTTAATGAATTAAAAATAATGCACCAGCCAGGCATCGAACCCGGGTCTGTGGAGGATCAGATAACAATTCTCAGTAGCAAAACGAAAAGGACTCTGATAGGTTCATGTGAAACACGTAAAGAACAGATTTTTTCAGACTTTCACTAACTATCTGTTACGCTTACGCATCATGCTACTGACGCGTGGCAAGGAGGGAGACTATGTTCTATAATTCAACGCATAAAGCAAACCGGCGAGCCTAACCAGAAACATCAAAATCTCAAACCAATACAAATCTATCGTAAATTTCAGGGAAAATGAACAAAACCATAGACTACCAAACAGAGAAATGTAAAGCAGATGGGGAGGGGGTACGAACCAGATCTGGAGACTGATGATTCGGATGAAGCTATGATCTTTGAGATAGATCTGATTCCGGTGTTCAACGCCATCATCGGATAATTGATCGAGAAACAGCGAAGGATAGACGACGATGACTATGCAAGTTTTACGGCGAATCTGTTTCTAGGAAGGCTGAGACCGAAATAGCAGCACACAGAGAGAGATACGTGCGTTGGTGACATTTGATTTTGGGCCCAGCCCATTTATTCTCCACAAGGCTTTCTCTAGTAGTTTTAGTTTCTGGCTACAAATGAGTAGAAAACATTGGTAAGGATAGGGCTGGGCAAAAAAACCGAATCCGAAAATCCGAACCGAATCCGGCCCGATAAAAAGGAACCCGAACCGATCCGAATCCAACATAAATACCGAATGAATCTTGTTTTACGGTATTTCCGGTTATGGGTATTACCCGAACCGAACCCGACCTTAAATGGATATCCGAAACAACCCGAAACTTTAAAACTCCTAAAAAACTTGTATCATATCCAATGTAAATTTCTAATATATTTTCCAAAACAGATTAATATATTATTGAGTACCTACAATAATTAGTTATGATATAAATAATTAACTCAAATATTTAGTCTAATGTATAGTGTTATTTGGTTATTATTAATGTTTATGATTGACATTACATTTGAAGTTAAGTTACGAATAAATTTGTTTTGAAGTTTATATAATGTTGTTTTTTTTAAGTGTAAATAGTACTTCTTACGTTTATAGAATTGTTAGTTGTTAACTTTAATTTTTTATGTTTCATTATGTATAATATTTCGTTCATAGAAGGTTTTGGTTTGTCATTAATCATAAAAATATTATTTTGAAGGAGAACAATATGGTTTGTAGATGCTAAACCATATTGTTCAATGACAAATCTTATTTGATTGATAGATGAGTTTCACTATATTATTTTGAAGGAGAACAATATGTTTTGTAGAAGCTAAATACACAAATTTAATAAAATGATTGAAAATATAGTGAGTTTAATTGAGTATAAATTAGTATTTTTAGAACCGATAACCCGATTAGTATCCGAAACCGAAACTATTTCGGGTTCAACCGGATCTTGGACATGTTACTAAACCCGAACCGAACCCGACTAAACCCGAATGAACCCGAACCGAAACCCGATTGGGACCCCGATTACCCAGCCCTAGGTAAGGATGGTCATCACTCTAAAACCAATTACCTAATCTAATATATATTACCAAAGAAACAATTAATCATCTTAAATACATATGATTAATAAAAGTTCTTTATAGAACAATTAAATATCACATATTCCATTATAAAAATTTAGAATATACATATAAATACATATTATATTATATTATAGAAATAAGTATATAGACGATTTTAAATTTTTTTCTATTAATAGTGGATAAAAAATCATACATTACAGAAAACTAATAATATTTTTATACTCACTCACTATATATATATATATGTATTCTTAAAATATGTTCAATGAATGCAAACAGTTAAATGTAAAATTTTAAAAATATTCTATCATTTTCCAGAGATAAATGTCGATAGTATAGTTGAGTTATCACTTTTCAAAAATTATTTATGTATTTTTATATTTAAAATAGAAAATTATATGGTATGTCATTTTAAATAATATGAATAAATGAAAAAAATTATTATAATATAAAATTAAAAAAAAACATTATATTAATACAAGACTAGATTTAATATTCTATTCATATAATTCATATAGCTTTAAGTATAATAAAATTGGCATGTTTATTTTTAATAAGAAAAAAAGAAAAAAGACATAAATAAAAACATGAGTGAATAATAATAAAGCCTTTTGTTGTATTCTTCGTTATTTTGTATTTGTACATACATAATTTTTTATTTGTATACCAAAATATTTTTTACGTATTAATATAATTGTAAACTAATTATTTTTAGGTGTTTATACAACATAAAGAAAAATTGAGAAAGGAAGATAAATATAAATGATAAGTTATAAAATTATTAATGTTGAAGATGTAAAATATAACGCAAATAAAAATTTAAAATAAATTATTTTAAAATAATGATAAGTATTTTTTTGCGGTGTAATAAACTTTTAAAATATATGATACAAAGTTATAACAAAATTTATACAACTAGAAACATCTTATTTTGATATATTAAAACTGTTGAATCTCATGTTTATATTAATCTATGTCTAAAATAATGACATCACATCATTTTAGAATTAAGATATTTTATGTTATATAATTATTTAATAAAATTTACTTTTTTGAAATACAATTATTTAGATTTACTTAAAATATGTACGTAATGAAGTAATTAAAAAAACAAAATTAATAATAAGATATTTATTTTTTCAGTGAAAATCTTGGTCAAAGGAATCAATGTTTGATAAGATATTGTGAAGATTGGAGAGATTTTGATAATGAATTTTTTTGGTTAGCCAATTGTGATTTTATATTAAATTATAAATAAAAAAATATATAAGAAAGGGAGAAAGAGAGGGAGATATGGTGATGATAATGATTAGAGAGTCGGTTATGATCATAATGAAAATGAAAGTGAATATAAGTGAGAGACTGAATATAAATGAGATAGATTCCGAAATCATTTATTAATACTATGTGAAAGTGTTTTGAAGATTTAACAAAATCTGGTGAAAATTTTACAACTAAAAAGTGAAAGAATGAGTTTTAAAGTGAAATATTGAGGATCATATTAAGGACGAGGGTAAGAGAATGAATATAGATGATTGTGAGAGAGTGAATCTAAGTTTGAGAGATTTTGAGATTATTTGATCAACTAAGGGAGAGAGAGAAAGAAAAATAGAGCAAGAGAGGTGTACGATATACAAAAATAATGCAAAGAGAGATACATAAGAAACAAAATGAATGTGTAAAAAAATACAAATAGAAACAAAATGAGAAAAAAGTTACAATATATTTATACATTTAAATTATTTTTTATTCATGCAATGTATAGATTATTTTAATAGAACAGTTGAGTACAACTTTTTTTAATCTTGTTTTGTTTTCTGCTGTAAAGTGTCCAAATCAACGTGTCAGAGTGTGACCACGTGGCTTATAAAACCAGCAGAATTATTTTATTTTTTCCCAATTAAAAGGCAAAAAAATCCCTTGATGTCTTTGGCCAGCAATGAATCTCAACCTCAAAAAATACAAATAATGCAAGTAAGCTTATCTCATCTCTTCATTTTTATCAAAAAAACGAAAGAAACATGAACGTTTCATCTTTTTTGAAAAATGCTAGAAAAATAAGATGGCTCATTTGCCACAGAGTCTCTACTCCGCCGCAAGGCCAGAGTTTCCATATCCGGGAAAGTCCGGCCAGCCGAAGTGGAGTCGCCTCCAAGGGATCGTACGGTGCTCGTCGACCGAGTCTTTAACGAGTTTGACTCAGAATGCGACGGAGACAGAGTTGAAGTATATGGTGAGTCAACACGGGTGGGGCGTGAGGAGGCTGAGGAGAGACGACGAAGAAGAGATCAGGAGAGTGTCTCTGGTTCAAGCCGAAGCTTTCCACATCCCTCTCGCTCTTTTCAATGATTTTTTCTTTTTGTTCTTCCAGGTTAGCTCACTATCTTCTTGTTTTACTTTCTTGAAAATTTAATTTAGAACTCTCAAATCTGTGGGAAATCTTTAGTATAGTTTTCATAGAGTTTGCATGTGTTGAATCCATATCAAGATTTCAGTAATCGTAGCAGGATGATAGAGTAGATATGATTTGATCATTTTAATCTTGTTTTACCTCTCTTGATGATTTAATGCAAAAGTCACAGTATATTTTTCATTAAGGATTTTAATGTGTCTTGAATGCATGTAATTTCAGAAGAACGGTTGAGTAGAGTGAGTAGAGTAGAGTAGATATGGGGGGTGATTGGTTGGGTTGTAAGTGCTGACTTTAGATTTAATTTTTATCTACAGCACTTAAATCACCAATCATGATTTATCTTATTTTTTAAAGCTACAGCAAAAAACTAAAAAAATGGTTGTAAAATCCTTATTTTCTAAAGCCACATTTTTTTTGCTGTAGAAAATATGTTGCTGTAGCAATAGATTTTAAAGCTACATCTTTTACAGCTAAATCAAAAAATGCTACAGACTATTTTCTACCGTAAAACTTTTACAGCTACAGTTCAACCAATCATCCCCATGATTTGATCAGAAGTTAGACCAAACACGAGTATCAAAAGAATACAGAATATTTGACCAAAAAAAAAAGAATACATAATATAATCTTTAACATACTGTATTAGGTCAACTGTTTACTTTTGCTTATGCATATTATATAACAGTACCTTTTAATGTAACTTTGGACCATCTTATTCAAATATGTAATGAATACACATGTTGCAGGCAGAAGTTTTGTCAGGGCTTTTGTACAAACTAAAGAATTCGCCTCCTGACAGGTATATGCAAAGAACAAAACTCTGTTTCAAGAATAAGACTAGTTTGCTTAAACAATACAGTGTTATTATGTGGCAGATATGCATGTCTTGTGGCGGAGCAAACAGGCGAAGCTGACACTAGTAGTTCAAGCTCAAGTGTTGTTGGAGTAGTTGACATCACAGTTCAGACAGAAAACTCAGTTCTCCGCCACTTTCCCGGCGTGGAAGAATATCTTTACGTCTCAGGCTTAGCCGTCTCCAAAGCTCTAAGGTCACTCTCTTCTTTTACTTCCTTTTCGTTACTAAATTTAGTAACGAATGTTGTTTATATGGAATTGGGTTTTGTTACATGGACAGGAGGAAGAAGATGGCAAGTACATTGTTAAAGGCATGTGATGTTATATGTTACTTGTGGGGTTTCAAGCTTCTTGCTCTAAGAGCTTACGAAGACGATGCAGCCGCTAGAAACCTCTACTCAAACGCTGGTTACACCGTGGTCGAGTCTGATCCACCTTGGACCTCTACTTGGATAGGAAGAAAACGTCGCGTTCTTATGACCAAACGCATTTCTTAAGCGTTTTTTGGTTTATCTACTTCTTCATGTACATTTGCTTTAGCATTATAGGGATTATCTAAATAACTTGAACCGATCAATATACAGACAGTGACTGAAAACTACTGAACTCCAGACTATCAAAGTGATTTTCAAGAAACATCGTATACCGGCTATTTTTCGGTTCCTAAATATCCAAAAAGAATCGATCTAAATATCCGAAAAGAATCGATCTGTATCTGAATGTCCATGTCTACTCTACTCCTTTAGGTCCTATCCAAGTAACTTAAAGAATAACTGTTGGGACTGAGTTCATGTTGCCGGATTAGTTTGGATAAATATGTTACAAACTTTAAGGCCTTGACAATTGTATAATGTTAATTGTTATATTCTTAACCAAAAGGCCCAATGGGCTTGTAATCCTATATAATTGAAACCAATATTTTTTCTAGGTTAGAGCTTAGAAGTATAAATAGTCAGTACATATAACCATCTCGACACTTGAGCTTCTATCGTTGCGGCGTGAGATAAAGACGAGTTATTGTGAAGACAATCAAAGAGAGATGTCGGAAGAAGCAGCTAACATCGATGTCAATCCAACGAAGACCAAGGACATAAGAAACTACCTCTGTCAGTATTGCGGAATCAGGAGATCCAAGAAGTATCTAATCACTTCACACATCGAATCTCATCATAAGGTTTGGTTTTGAATCTCTCTCTAGAGGCTTTTAACTAAACCGAGGATTGGTGTGTAGACTTAAACGTGTTTACACGTGTTTGGTTTTAGATGGAAGTTGAAGAGGAAAGAAATGAGGAAGCTTGTGAGGATGAAGAAGCAGAAGAGATCTCTGATAAACACACTTGCCAGGAGTGTGGTGCTGAGTTTAAGAAACCTGCTCACTTGAAGCAGCATATGCAAAGCCACTCTCTTGAGGTAGTCTTATGCATCTACCTCACGTGTATCTTCGTTATGTAATGGAGATAGAGACGCTTGTGGGTTTGCTTAGCTCTGAGTGTTGGTCTTATTACGAGCTAAAAGTTTATGCTTTTGAAAGAAATAAACGTTCCATGAGTGGTCTATTCTTACTCTCGTGGGTTTGCTCAGTTCTGAGTGTTGGTCTTATTGCTTACTAAAAGTTTATACCTTTGCAGGAAATAAATGGCCTTTTGGTTTAATAATAACAAAATGGTCTTAAACTTGTGTTATTGCGTGAGGCATTGGATCCCAACGAGAGAACTCCAAAATGCGAGGCTACATGTTATGGACCAGTATCAGGTAGGGAGACCTCCTGAGAAGCTCCAGCATGTTTGCCTCCATCACGCAAAAGGTCTGAGAATATGATGTTCACTAGCTTGTTTTTTTACTGCTCAAATGTTTTGGGTAATAGTGTTTTTAATAGGCTATGTTCTAATGTTTTATTTCGTGTCTGTGCAGAGACCTTTTGCGTGTTATGTGGATGATTGTACTGCGAGTTATAGAAGAAAAGATCATCTAAATAGGCACATTCTTACCCATAAAGGAAAGCTGTTCAAGTGTCCAATGGAGAATTGCAAGAGTGAATTCTCAATACATGGCAATATCAGTAAGCATGTTAAGAAGTTTCACACTGACGGCGATAGTAACAAGGATGATACTGCTAATGGAGATTCTCAACCCTCGGAATCTTCTTCTGGTGAGAAGAAGCTTGTCTGCAAAGAAGTTGGTTGTGGAAAGGCCTTCAAGTATCCTTCACAGCTGCAGAAGCATGAGGATTCTCATGGTATGTGCACCATTCTACTGAAATATAAATCTACCCATTTTCAAGTCTCTAAAATGTTACTTATGGATTTACATTGGCAGTAAAATTGGACTCTGTGGAGGCTTTTTGCTCAGAGATTGGGTGTATGAAGTACTTTACAAACGAGGAATGTCTCAAGGCACACATAAGATCCTGCCATCAGCACGTCAACTGTGAGATATGTGGTTCTAAGCATTTGAAGAAGAACATTAAGAGACATCTAAGGACTCATGAGGAAGATTCATCATCACCAGGAGAGTTCAAGTGTGAAGTTGAGGGTTGCTCTTCCACATTCTCAAAGGTAAGGAAAAATCCAGAGCTAGTCAAACTTCGAAATCAAAAGCATTCACTAATTATGTTTTCTTATGGTTTTGCAGCCTTCTAATCTTCAGAAACACCTGAAAGCAGTGCACGAGGATGTTAGACCCTTCGTATGTGGCTTTCCAAGCTGTGGCATGAGATTTGCTTACAAACACGTCAGAAACAACCATGAGAATTCTGGCAGCCACATATATACCTGCGTAAGTTTTATCCCTAATTTGGTCTTGTAATAAATTCAAGAAGCGACTAGAATCTGAAATGAAGTTGAATGGTGGTTTTCAGGGTGATTTTGTCGAAGCTGATGAAGATTTCACCTCGAGGCCAAGAGGTGGAGTAAAGAGAAAGCAAGTTACAGCGGAAATGCTTGTAAGGAAGAGAGTCATGCCTCCTCAGTTTGATTCAGAAGAACACGAAAGTTGCGTGAGTCAATAGGCAGATGGTTTCATTATGTGTAAATTCTGTTTGTTTGTTTTTGTTACGGTAGAAGAAAATATATTAAGGCACTTTTAGTAATAGTAAAAATGTAATCTCTAAACCCTACTTTGAAGAGCTTGTTTAAATTTCACTTTTTATGCCATGGCTACTACATACATACAAGAAAAACTGTACTCCATCTCTCTGATTCTACTGAATCCAAACCAACAATCCTCACTATACTAATTGTCACTTTGAAGTTCCCACTTCAACGGAGAGTCTTGCTGAGATCAGTTTGAAGTATGTCAACTTCTTTGTAAAACGAAGTTTTTATTCTAAGAACATGGCAGGTGAGGTCAGAGATGAAAATATTACTGAGAGTGAGTGTGAAGTTAGTTTCAGCTTACAAGAGTAAAGAGAGGTTTTACTTTAGGCCTGAAGCTCGCCATTGTTCGAGTGACAGTGGTAATGATAGCTTCTAGATTCTCCTTATATATATATTGCCGCAGCGCTTTAACCAGCCAACGTTTTCAGTCACATACCAGATAGCGATTGAGGTAGCTTTCTTGGTTATTTACCTTTATATATATACAAATTTCCATAGTTCGGTCCTTAAATTTTAAAGTTTGTTTTGGTGCTAAATTTCTTGTATTTTAAGTTCTAACGAATTCATCAATGCTTAATTTATAAATAATTCTATCCTACAATAATAATAATAATTATTATTCCTACAATTATTATTAAAATCTATAAATCTTGTTTACATATAAACTCAGGCTGAGTTGTAAGTAGACACAAGTACCGAAAATAAAAGCTCTGTCGAACAATTGCTTTCATATATAGGGTTTTTCATTTTCAATGCTAACATTTCGTTTAAACCTCTGAGGCATGAACGATCGTTTCTGAAACAGCAGAATTCATCATGCTGAGAGCTTCGATGATGAGATTACCAAGATGATGAGGGTCTGGAATCACGTCGAGATCAACTGCAAGGCTGATTACAAGTTTGTCCATATAGCTTTGTAAAGTGATAATGAGAGCCTTGTCAAGAAAAAAAAAATAAAAATAATCAGGACTAATTGACTGTTTCATTTTGTTTACACCCTGTTTAAATTTAGTAAGAATGATTTGGAATGAAACAGAGATAATAGAACGGAAGTAAAAATAAAATACTAAATTAATTACATGTATATTAGATTCTATATTAAGATTCATTTTTTTTAATCTAAAGTTCATATTTTATAACTGAACCATTTTTCCGAAATCAGTTTAAATTGGATTCTGAGAGCTAATTATTTTTAATGAACAAAGGATCCAAAACATAATTTATATAAGTTAAAAAATCATTAATAAATGATTTTAAATATAATATATTTGTATATATATTTTATGAAAATATTTAGTACTTTTAAATACTAAATTATGAAATTATTTTCTCTAAAACAAATTATGAAAAACTTAAATGTGAAAAATTTAAACTAAATCTCCACACTAAAACTATTTAACACACAATTATATATAATGCCAAAATGTTATTAAAATTATATTACAGTATAATGTGTATACGTTATTTTATCATCAACTATATTATACCCACATATCTTATTTCTACATGGTATAAAAAGAGTAGTATACACATAGATAAAATATAATTATTATTTATTTTGAGAAAGGGCTTACATAGATAAATATCATTAATTTTAAGTTTATACATTATAAAATTTTATATAGATCATATTGTTGCTATTTATACTGTTTATGATTTTTATTTTAAAGATTTTTTTAATAAATGTAGATCCATGTATAATATATTGATAATGATCTATTTATAATAACACATATGATGATATGTTGAGTTAATTATCATAGGTATCATTTCAAGTTCAATTTTGTCTGATAAGTTGTAACTATATTTTCTAATCTAACTACAACTTGCTTCTCTTAGCATAACTGAACAACAAATTAGTTACAAAAAGTAATTACCAATATTAAACATAAAATTAATATTTATTTTTAACTTTAAAGTATAGATTCGCTTTGTATAAATGATATTATAACCGTATTAAATAATTGTTAAGATAATATTTTTGAACAAAATAATCTTTATATTGAGAAGTTTTATTTTGTTTTTAAAGCGTCAATAGTGTCACCAACATTTTTTATCATGTAATTATTGTATTATATTTACATTGCTCTATTATTTGTATAACAATATGCGTAATAATATATTTAGAAATTAAATTGACAATTTATATTGAATTTATATATTATGTAAATTGAAATTTATATTTTCCTCTTAAATAAATATACTTTTGTATTTCTAAAAATATATATTTTTTTGTCAAAGAAAATAAAATGAATTAACCTATTAATCTAGTAATTTAAGAGAATATCCCGCAAAAGGTTTATTATATTTATGTATGATTTTTATAAATTATCGTACGGTACTAACTATTTATATGTCTTAAAATAATTAAAAATGAAATATATAATACACATAAAAGGATAAGTAATATTTGTATTATAGTATAAGAATAATTATTTGAGATATGATTAACTACAAAAATATACGTTTGAGATTAAGTGGTAAATTATTTGTCTATTTTTTAAAAAATATTATGTAAAATTATTTTTTTGCCTTCTAAATACATCTAGTTTTTGTTTTTAATATAGTATTAGATAGTTAAAATAGAAAACTACTCCCTTCGTTTCAGAATGATCTATGTTTTAGAAAAAATAGTTATTTCTAAAAGATCTATGTTTTATATTTTCAATGTAGATAATAATGACAAATTGTCAATTTCAAAGATATTAATTATGTTTACTCAATTTTGATTGGTTAAAAATAATAGGAAATAACTAAACACAGAAAATAATACATTTATTACAAAAATTTATGTATTTTCTTAATAAGTGTGAAAATTCTAAAATATACATTATTTTAAAACGGAGGGAGTATTTATTAGTTTGATTTACATATTATATTTTTAGTGAATAATTGAAGTGTTAATTAGTTTGAATATCAAGTTAGGTAAGTCTTAAGTTTTAAATGACAAAAGATATTTAATGATGAAATTTATGAGTAGTTAAGTTTTATGCTTGTTTTATGATAAAAACAATTAATAAAGACCTATTCAATACTTATGAATTTTGTTTATTTGTCAATTTTTAAATTTTGTCATGTTTATTAATTGATGACAAACACGTGATGTATTAATTAGTTAATTTACGTTTAACATGACAAAATAAACATTTACCCTCGTTAATTGTTTTTGTAGGGTTTAAATAGTAGTTATTTTTAGGTAACTAATTTGAAAATCAATTAAGTATGTTTTCATGATTATTTTAAAATAAGGTGATTCTTTTGTGCTCATGCACGAATATGAATAAATATATTAGAATAATATTGATATTACTTTTAATTTATATATTTAATTTGTATTAATAATATATTATGATTTTAATTAGACATATGATTTAGATATGTTATATCTAGTCGGTTGGTTGTTTTTGAGAACAATAGTCGATTTAGTACCGTTGGGCATATTACATATATTTCTCCGAATTCAACTATAATATTTTTTTCTAAATATATATAAATTTTGGTTAAGTTTTTTTTAGTTGCATTTTGGTTGGTTGTTGTTTTAGATACGTATAGATATATATATATATATATATATTTTAGTAATTTGTATTACTCATATATATTGTGCTTAGAAAGAAACAAAAAATAAACTGAAGTTTTTGATAAATTTTACAAAAGAACTAAATTGTAACAACTGGTTAATAGTTTTTATTATATGTTTTGAGTCATCCTTTAATATATATATATATATATATATATAAATAAATAATTATTATAAAATTATATGTTCTTATTATAGTTAGTTCTTTGATTTTGGATATAAGTTTGATTAGTCTAGTTACTTAGTTTTTAGGTATATTGAGTTACACAGATTCTTTCAAATTTAAATGGAAGTGTAACTATTTTTCATTAATTAAGTCAGATCAAATTAATTTTATTTCTCAATAAAATGTACAAATAATTTCATAATAGTTTGATAAATGTTGATTTTTAATAATTATTAAAAAATAAAGCGATGATCAATAAGAAATTACATACATAAGTATAAGTATAACTGAGACAAAATTTGGAAGTTCATGAACACATATAATTAATATTTACAATAACTATAATAATTATAAATTTAAACAATTTTATGCCTTAGATTTATTGAAAGATAAACAGAAATTATTTTAAATACTCTTAAAATGAGAATTCATATTTGCTTGAGTATTTTTAGTTATAGGTATATTAAGTTCAACAAACATAAAGAAAATATAACATTAATAAGTAAAAAATATTAAGAATTTTTTTTAATAATGATAAAATAGAATATTTCTACCTCATTAAGAGTATATAGTGTTATACTATTAAAAAGATTTTATAATGATTAGATCAAACATGCTTATTGTACAAAATTATTTTTAGTTTCCTATTTAATATCTTTTAAAAATAAGCCCTAAAACATTTTTGTAATTTTGTTTTGAGAAATCATAGTATATAAGTAAAATATAATTTATAGATATTTTAGTTTTTTTTCCTGTAATTGTAATATATATATATATATTTCAATAATACTAATTATAAACTGCTTTAGTCAAACTGCTATATATATTCTGTACTTATGAATTTTTTGTTTTGTTTTGTTTCATTAAGTCTATATATAGATGGATCCTGATTTGGAAAGACACATCGGAACCTATATAACTATCAAACTGTTCTTGTTACTCTCCATATTTGATTAGGGTTGAATAGGACGGGTTTGTATAGAGAGATGGTACCTCCGTACCTGTGGGATACCAAAGGTGCTCGAAGCAATGTAAGATATCTGATGCCCAAAAAAACTAATTTCTTCCGCTGGACCAACCACATTTGAGAATGCCATTGTTGTGTTACCATAAATTCTCTCTGCAATTTTCTTGACTGCCTGTTTTCCACCCAATACATCCAAATAAATGTCAATTCAATTCACAAAATACATATGATTAAGGAACTATCAAGATAATGTTGATTTAGATCTTACTTACTGTTAATCCAAAAATCTCCATGGTCAATTTGAGCAACACATAAGAAAAAAGAGGTTCGAAAGAAAGTTTTTTACGATCCATAGTCGTTTTTGCTTGTCGGACATATTCAAGTATATCATTCTCTGACTTCATCCATAAAGGAATAAGAACATAACCTATTGAGTTTCCCCATCTGCTCTTAGAACCTTTTGCCATCATATTAGCCAAATCCTATATATATAATAGATGTAAATGTTAGATTCCTAATATTTCAGATAAGCTAAAACGTGAAGATCGTTTGTGGTATATTATCTTCAGCACCTCGATATCTCTGTTTGGCCTTAGGTTGAAAAACACAACACCATGAAGATATGTTTTGTCTAGAGTTTTTCTTGTCTTTGAAGTTGTGTCAAGATCTGTTCATAAATTTGAGGATACGTAAGAGCTGCATGCTAACAAATGTTATTTTATGACATTAAATAAGAGTATGATTTACCGTATATTTGATTCAAATATCGTGAAAGACCAGCTTGTACCATTCCAAAAAGAACATCATTCACTGTCTAATAGAAGGAGAATAATATAAAATTTAATATTTCAAAAGACAACAAAAGAGAGTAATTAAGCAAACGTACCATCTTCATGGCGTTCTTCACATTTTTAACATCATCCAAACTAATGATTTTGTGAACAATCTTATTAGCACTACATGTAGCTCCTGGTTTACCCATTATATCAGTTGTGGTGTCCCTCGCAAAGCATATAAAAACCACAGCTTTGATAACTTCGATACAAGTGTTGGACATAAGTCTTATTATGTGCCAGAACCAAGCAACCAACGACCACCAAGCGTTTCTTGCTTGGTTTTTCTTCGGAGCCAGAAAAGTAGGCAGGGCCTCGGGATCACATGTTTTTCGAGTACATGCGAGTAAAAGAGACATAAGAGACATTCCATCGCCTAGAGAATGATGGAACCTAGCCACGGCTACGTATTTCGCATGTGATGTCTTAAGTTTCAGTAAATGAAACTCCCATAAAGGTTTGGACATATTCATTGGAGAAAAAGCCATGTTTGTTATATAATCCTCTAGAAATTCATCAGGATTCTCAATGTGTGGATCTATATCTGGGACAATAACATGATCTTCCACTTTTACTTCTGTTGGAATCCATTTAGCTTTTCCTTTTCGCTCGTCATGACTCGTCAACTAGATGTATCATATGATATAAGGATTTTAACATCTCAAACTAGAGGAGATCTTATAAGTAATATAACATACATAGAACAATTTACTAGTTAATTTATTAGTCGTTTTAGACTTTAAAATATATAAATCAACTAGTTGCCGCATTGTACTGAGCTTTTAAATAGAAAGGAGGGATGTCAAAATGGTTTGCCATAAGATATATAGTTAGAATTTACGATTCTTTTAAAAGCTCAGCAACAATGTGCCATCAAATGAAAACAAGTTCTTTTGTTTGAATCAATTTAGCATTCTTTCAAAAAAACATTTACCGACCAGTATGCTAGAGAAGCGTGGGTGGTTAATCAGTGTATTCTTTAAGCCCTCAATAAAGGTGAATGGATCGCCTTCATTTTTGAATCCAATGGTTGCAACGTTGAAGACGTCAAGACCCGGCAAGCTGAACAGCTGTGCAAATGGACTAACTGGCTCCTCTCCCTCCGTTATTTGCTTTTTCATAGACATCTCTCGTTCTTTATTTATTTATTTCCGGGTTTTATAGGATTATTTCCCAAAGTTTGATGCGAATAGTTTATTTATATACAGGCGCTTAACCTCAATAGCAGTTAATATATGTTGGTTGTATTTAAATGATGGTTGTTGAATAACTAACTACTACTATCCAATCTATATGAATGTGATTCCAGTACCTCTTCACCACATTATATATCTATGGCGGGTCCAAGCTATGATAGCAAGTAGAACCTAACACTTATTCAATTTCTAGGTATACTTCCTTAAATATACTGATCTTTCAAACAAAATTTTTTATGCGAGAAGTTAATACTCCTCGTAAAAAAAAAGACATGGTTGAAAGGTGTGTTTATTAGTGTGTGTGTGTTCAGAAACTATCCACTTGTTTGGAATTGAACTGACGTTTATGTTTTGTGGCAAAAGTTGTTGCATAATAATAAAAAAAGCATATCACGTCAGTACGCAGTTGGTTGTTAGTAGGGATGTTAATATGAAAAAATCCATCCCATTTAAACCCACCCTGTTGGTTGTTAGTAGGGATGTTAATATTATAAAATCCATCCCATTTAAATCGACCCCGTTTAAGACCCACCTCATATAGAATCCATATCCGTTTAGATCTACCCATTTAAATTTAGTAATTTTACTCTCCCATTTAAACCCTTTTAAACCCACTTAAACTGTTTTGACTTTTTATCTATTTTTTTTTTGTTTCCAATTAAAATTATGTTTTCGTGCCAAAACCGAGAAATTACGCTTTCTCACCAAAACAAAAAAATTACGTTTTCCCGTAAAAAACCGAGAAATTATGTTTTCCCAGCAAAACCGAGAAATTACGTTTTCCCGCAAAAACCGAGAAACTACGTTTTCTCGCAAAAACCGAGAAATTACGTTTTCCCACCAAAACCAAGAAATAACGTTTTCTCGCCAAAACCGAGAAATTACGTTTTCTCGCCAAAACCGAGAAATTACGTTTTCTAGCCAAAACTGAAAATTACGTTTTCCCGCCAAAACCGAGAAATTACGTTTTCTCGCCAAAACTGAAAATTACATTTTCCCGCCAAAACCGAGAAATAACGTTTTCCCGCAAAAACCGAGAAATTACGTTTTCTCGCCAAAACCGAAAATAACGTTTTCTCGCCAAAACCGAAAATTACGTTTTCTCGCCAAAACCGAGAAATTATGTTTTCTCACAAAAACCGAGAAATTATGTTTTCCCACAAAAACCGAGAAATTACGTTTTCCCACCAAAACCGAGAAATTACGTTTTCTCGCCAAACTGAAAATTACGTTTTCCCGCCAAAACCTAAAAAATTTGTTTTCCACCAAACTAAGAAATTGCATTTTTCCGCCAAAACTGAAAATCACGTTTTCCCGCCAAAACAAAGAAAATTATATTTTCCCGCCAAAATCGAGAAATTACGTTTTTCAGTGAAAATCCAGAAATGGCGGAATATCTCGATTTTGGTTTTGGCGAGAAAAAAATTATTTTCGGTTTTGGCGGAAAATCTCGATTTTCAATTTTGGTGGAAAATCTCGATTTTCAATTTTGGAGGGAAATCTCGATTTTCGGTTTCAGTGAGAAAACTCTATATTTGGATTTGACAAAAATAATGATTTTAGGTTAAATATAAAATTAATTATTCTATAAAGATTATTTAAATTAAAATAAATAAACTAAATTTAAATTATAGAAAAATCATAAATGGGTTAAACTGGTCCCCATTTATTTTAGTCAATGCCCATTTAATAAATGGGTCTTAATAGGGTTACCCATTTAAAACCCGACAAGCTATATGAGTTTAAATGGGCATTTTTTTCTTTCTAAAACCCATTAAAAACCCACTAACAAATCTCATTTTAACATCCCTAGTTGTTAGCCTTTTTGAGGTTCAAGTTTTAAATTTTTTATTATTATTCTTATTTTTTTTTAAAAAATAATAATATAACTGAACCTGAGCCGCCACGTATAGTGGAGCCCACGAAACAGTGATGAATTCGCCAAAAGAAGGTTCACCGGAAAGAGCTCGGGAGAGGCATGTTCATGAGAATGAAATTATTTTAATATATTTTTTTCTTGGCAAACATGTATACTCCTCGTATGATCTCTCAATGTAGATGCTCTTACTCTCAGGCCCCAGTCGGGCTTGGAAGGAAAAATAGAGACATTAATTAAAAATCATTTAAACATTATGGAATCCCAACTTTATGGTATCCTCAATATTTTAAAAATCATTTACATAATATATAGATATTAATAATTATGCATTAAGGAGTTAAATGTGAAAAAGATTGTAGAAATAATAATTAACTATTAATTGATGATAAAAAAATACTGAACTGATTTTATGTAATTATGATTCAAATATGAATAAATATAATAGTAACTCAAAATAAAGAAAATTTATTATCTTTGTGTGGCTAAGATTCATAAAAAATTTCTTTGAAGAGAATAAGCATTTCAGAGTAGTATAGTGTATGTTCTGCTTTCTTAGTGGATATTTTATTCTATATCGCTAAAGTAGTATAGAATTCAAAAACACCCACAATCACAAAATATAAACACTACCCCCAATCCCAATCCCAACTCCACCCCAACCTCTAAATGCAAAACTCTAAATCTAGATAGAATAGAACAAAATAAATAGAATAATACATATTGGTTATGTTATGAAATGTCTATTATTGTATATAAAAGTTAATGTTGACCCCAACATCAATCCCGGCCTTCTAAATACTAAATACTAAACCTTAAACCCTTATCACTAAACCCTAAAACCCAATTATAAACCCAAAACCCAAATACAAACCCTAGAAGATTATTACTAAACCCTAAATCCAAATATAAACCCTAAACCCCAATCAATAAATGAAATTACATATACACTGAAACATTTAAAATAGTATAGAACTATGTAAATATTATAAATGTAATAATCTGGAACATTCTGTATAAATGAAATTACATATACACTCAAAACATTTAAAATAGTATAGAACTATGTAAAGAATAGAGATTATGTTTGAAATAGTATGGTACCCTATATGGTAACTTTCTTTCACCGAATATAGTATACACGATGAGTCTATCTTCTTCATTTTTTCCTCTTTTTTAGACATGTAGATACACATTCATATGTCCTACCGTCAATAATCTTTTCGTCGCTTCAGTTTCGTCTTCCTCAAAATGGTCGATTTTAGAATCCAAAAGCCTCCCCCTTTTCTCAACGCATGAGCCTTCAAAAGTGTTCTTCTCCTTCACAATACTTCATCATACACCAATAAAAAGAACAATGTATTATACAGTAGATCGATTCTATATACAAAACTTCTGTTTAAAACCCATAAACTTTGTCAGGTTGTGATATGAAATGTAATTCAGGGCATATGGTATACTATTTTAAGTTGAGGACTATACTATGTAGAATGGCACATTATAGAGTCGACAAAAGAAATAATGCAATTTCATTGAAAGTACTATAACATATTGAATGACAAAATTATGTTTCATATAACCAAAATATATAGTATATAACAATATCCTCTTCCCAACCTCTGATTAGTAAATCATATAACATAAATGTCCGAGTAGAATAGAATAGTAACATCTAGAGATAGTATAGTAAAACATATCTGTAAAACAGCCGAAACAACAAAAAGGAGATGATTCAAAGAGACACATGACAAGCATAGTAATTCAGAAGTAGACAAAACAAAGAAAAATGTTCTAAACACAGAGGAACGCAACACAACATAACTTCTCATAAATAGGTAAATAGTGAAGAGGATAATGTCATCAAAAGAAAAACATATTCAGATTTAGAGCAACGAATCAAGGACCTAGAACTTACAGCCGGTTAAAGTAGTTTTAGAAATCGCTGAAGTGAATGAGGATCAGAAATAACCGATCCAACTTGCCGCCGCTCATGTTACTTCAATGCCTCCTCTCTTGTTTTCGAAATCAGCAAAGAGTCACCTCTGTGACCATACCAGTTGAACCGGGGATGAAGGCGCTGGAAACTTGGTGACCAGAAATTAGAATCGACTATTCACTTCTATTGGGGAAGAAAGTAAAATAATTTTGAGAGGATGTGACTTACGAACGGACACGAATAACTTGACAACAATAATATTAATTATTTTAATTCTTATTTTTATTTTATGCAGGTTTCTCCGATAATTTTCAAGGATATTATGGTAATATTATATAAAAGAGGAGATGTGTATCGGTGAGATAGGGCTTTGTGTTATTGAACAAATTATAATATGTTTGAAGGTTATTCAGTCAAATTTCCCAAAATACAATCGGTTGCTCACTGTTGGACTTGGAAGTAAATCTTTTGTTGTTGTTGTTGTTACTCTTTATGGAGAGTTTTTGTTTATAGATTCTTGTCTCTGATGGATCCGATGATGTGGACTCTCGAGTGATTGGTTATTGTTTATGGACAAGGAGCGTCAAAGCCTCCATAACGTGTAGGATTCTTGTTGACCTTACGTAAAATACTCTTTCAAGAATTACTAAATTACTTTCCTAATCAACAGAATTACACCCTTTTATCGACAATAAAAAAGAATTACACCGACGAAAAAGGAAACAATAATGTCAACACAATTAGACCAGAAAAAGTCAACAAGATTAGCTTAAGAACGAGATTAGCTTAAGAACGAGATTAGAGATGCAACCAGACAAAACTTGCCTTTGGTTATTTTTCTCCTTCAGTAAGAGAAATGGCGACAACCGCAGAAACTCCTCTTCTAGAAGAACACGTGATCGACGCCGTTGACCACGACGGACTTGCCGCCGGAAGATCAAACACCGGTAGATGGACTGCCGCATGGTTCATAATTGGTAAAAGAGATCACAAGCTCTTCCTCTGTTTCTTATATTTTCCCACTGCTTATGAGTTTCTTTGTTAGGTGTGGAAGTTGCGGAGAGGTTTGCTTACTATGGTATCGCATCAAACCTCATCAGCTACTTGACTGGACCACTTGGTCAATCTACGGCGGTTGCCGCAGCTAATGTCAACGCATGGTCCGGAATCTCCTCTATTCTTCCTGTTCTTGGAGCTTTTGTCGCTGACGCTTTTCTTGGTCGGTACCGAACAATTATTATCGCGTCACTTATCTACGTACTGGTTAGTCTCCTTTCTGTATCTCTTCTCTTTTATTTCTTTTTAAATCTTGATTTGATGTTAGAACATGATAATAAAGTTTATGTTCTGTTCTTTAACTAGTGTGGATTTGATGTTAGGGGATGGCACTTTTGACTTTGTCTGCACTTCTGGTTCCTATCACTAGTGAGAATAAGGAAGTGGCCTCTTCTTCTTTGCTTAATCTACTCTTCTTCTTCTCTCTCTATCTTGTGGCCGTTGGACAAAGTGGGCACAAGCCTTGTGTTCAGGCCTTTGGTGCAGATCAGTTTGATGAAAAGGATACACAAGAGAAACGTGACAGAAGCTCCTTCTTTAACTGGTGGTACCTTAGTATGTCTGCAGGGATCTGCTTGGCCGTTGTAGTTGTTGTCTACGTTCAGGAAGCTGTCGGCTGGGCTCTCGGGTTTGGTATACCTTGTGTGTTCATGGTCATCTCTCTTGTTCTGTTTGTGTCAGGGAGAAGAAGTTACAGGTACAGTAAAAGAAGACATGAAAAGGAAACCAACCCTTTTACCAGGATAGGTAGAGTTTTCTTTGTAGCCTTCAAGAACCGAAGTTTAAGCCCCTCGCAAACTGAGCTTGAGGCAAACACATCTCATGTATATCCAGAGAAGCTGAGGTATTAGGTCTATTAAAAATAAATTCTTGTTGCATGGTTTTGAGACTATTCACTATCTTTGTGAATTGTGACAGGTTTCTCAACAAAGCCTTGCTTGTCTCAGATGCATCTACTGAAGAGGATACTGCATGTAGTGTTAGTGATGTTGAAGATGCCAAAGCTCTTGTCAGGCTTATACCAGTATGGCTTACAACTCTAGGCTACGCGCTACCCTACGCACAGTACATGACTTTCTTCACAAAGCAAGGTGCAACATTAGAAAGAACAATCTTCCCTGGTGTGAAGATCCCATCTGCTTCTCTTCAAGTTCTTATCGGCGTATCAGTAGTCCTCTTTGTTCCCATCTACGACCGTGTCTTGGTCCCAATGGGGAGGTCTATCACCAAAGATCCTTGTGGAATCACAACGCTCAAAAGAATTGGAGCCGGAATGGTATTAGCAACTCTCACTATGATGGTAGCAGCTCTTGTTGAGTCAAAGCGGATCCAGACAGCAAAAGAGTACGGTCTTATAGACCAACCGGACACAACGATTCCAATGTCTATATGGTGGTTAGTCCCTCAGTACCTGCTGCTGGGATTGGCTGATGTGCTTACATTAGTGGGAATGCAAGAGTTCTTCTACAGCCAAGTTCCCACCGAGCTGAGAAGCATCGGTCTCGCGCTGTACTTAAGTGCCTTTGGTGTGGGAAGCTTGTTCAGCAGCTTACTTGTGTATGTGATTGATTTGGTCACTGGAGGAGATGCTGGAAACAGCTGGTTCAATAGTAATCTGAATAAAGCACATCTTGATTACTTCTATTGGTTACTTGCAGTTATTAGTGCCGTGGGGTTCTCTGTGTTCTTGTTCGTTTCTAAGTCGTATATTTATCGTCGGGTGGATGGAGTCTAAGTCTTTTACAGCCTTTCTTGACATAAGACGATGATGTAATATGAGAATGGTATTCCAGTGAAATATTGTGGTTCACAATCTTGTGTTGTTAATTGTAGGTCTTGTTTGTTTCAGAGACGCATATTTTTATTTGTTTTCGTAAAACATTTTGGTAAAATACAAACGTTCAAGGCAAAACAAATGATTACACTAAGAACACGTTAAACTTAACGGAAGCAAACATTTCAGGTTGTCTTGATACCAAAGCCTGAGTGTCATGGACTTCGTTTTGACTTTTCTGTATGACTATTCTATTCATCCTCCTGTGATAATAATGTTCACTTCATAGCCATGCATAAAAACAGATTCAGGTGAAGTAAATTTATTGGTTCAGCTTTTGATCATTCAGTAATCGCCTGGGTGGATGGAGTCTAAGTCACAACGTTGTTAATTTAGGTCTTTATTGTGACCTCTCCCAACGTTTTACTAGAGCTAAATGTCCGTCCATTATCAGATGTCTTTGATTAATGCGATATTGTCTGTTTTTAAACTTTAATTATTACTGTTTTTTTTTTTGTAAGTAGGTTAGTCTCTAAATTTTTTTTAGGGTAGACGATCTATTTCCCCGCGAGTAGTATCATATAGCACCAGATGTCTCCCAAACTATTGTCTCGTTCCGTTTCTCCCCGATTAATAATTTCGAATTCTATTTCTCCACCAATTAGAATTAAAAATCTAGATGTCCCCGATTACAAAGTTCGAATCTTAATTCTCCATATGGCTGGTTAAACATTGGTTTACTGTTCGTAGGTGATTTGGTTAACCATAATAACCCAGATTATACCAATGTCTGGTGGAATTAAGTTAATAAACCGATATTAGATCCGGCTAAGACCCGATTACTCTAATAACCCGACCAAAATCTTCCAAATCCGTTTCTTTCTCAAACCCTAATTAACCAGCAGAGAGATCAGAGCAAGAGAAAGAGAAGAGAGACGAAGAAGAGAAGAGAGACGAAGAAAAGTTCCCAATCGAAGATATTCCATGGCTAATGAAGTGAACGGTGAGGAGTTTGATGAAGAAACAGTTGAGAGAGAAGATAACGAGATCGAGAAAATACTGGAAGAATTCATCGATGAGCCTCCTATACGGCACGACGAGTGTCCCTCGAGTGAGGATGAGAAAGAGGGAGATGAACCTCGTAAGAAGGTGAAGAAGGTGGTCCCTGTGAAACGCGATGCTGGAAGACTTTACAAGGGGAAACGTTTCTTGAATGGTGTGGCTTTCAAGGACTCTGTGCTTGATTATGCTCTGAGAACAGGCCGGAATATCAAGCAATACAGGTATGATAAGGATAAGATTGGGTTTATATGTGTTGGCGCTAAAGGATGTGAATGGAAAGTGTATGCGTCCACTCTTCCTAAGGATAATGTCTGGGAAATTAGAGTCTTCAAAGAGGAGCATTCATGTATTCCAAATGGTGAATGTGAGATGTTAAAGGTGCCTCAAATTGCAAGGCTTTTTGTTGATAAGATTAGAGAGGAACCGGAATACTACATGCCAATGAAGATTGAAGAATTGGTTTATGAAAAATGGGGGCTTACGGTATCTAGGCCTCAGTGTCAGGCTGCAAGAAACAAGGCACTAAAGTGGATTGAGTTTGAGAATGATCATATGTTTGCCCGGCTAAGAGATTATGCTGCTGAGTTGCTGGAATCAAACCCGGATTCGACTGTGGAGATTGAGACTCTTACTGACACGACTGGTGAGAAAGTGATCGAAGAGTTCAACAGGATATTTATTTGCTTTGATAACCTCAGGAACACATGGAAACAGTCATGTAGGCCACTGATAGGAGTCGATGGATGCTTCTTAAAGCACAAAGTCAAGGGACAGCTTCTTGTTGCATTAGGAAGAGACGCGGATAATGCTATATATCCAATAGCATGGGGGGCTGTTCAAGTGGAAAACACAGAAAACTGGTTATGGTTTGTGAGAAAGATTAGAGATGCATTGGGCTTGAATCAGGGGCTTGGCTACATACTGGTGTCAGATCGACAAAAGGTATGAGTTTTGATGTTTGTCTTATGTGCTTTTGGTTGTTTGTTAATGATGAGTTTTGATGTTTTTTTTTTAGGGATTGATAAGTGCTGTTCAATCTGAACTACCACTGATTGAACACAGAATGTGTGTACGCCATATCTATGGTAATCTGAAGAAGAATCATGCTAGTAGAAAGGAGATGAAGTCACTGATATGGCATTTGGCATGGAGCTACAACGAGGCTGAGTTCGAGCAACGTTTAGATAGGATTCGATGCTATGATGTTGTTGTGTATGATGATGTTCAGAAGAGTAAACCTAGGACATGGTGTAGAGCCTTCTACAAGCTCGGTAACTACTGTGAAGATGTAGAAAATAATTCTACAGAGTCTTTCAACAACACAATCGCAAAGGCTAGGGAGTTTGCTTTTGTGCCAATGCTAGAGGGTATTCGCAGATTGGCAATGGCTCGTATTGCTAAGAGATCAGTCATCTCTCATGCTCACAAAGGTACATTACTAATTTTCTATTTGTTCTCGGTTTTAATGCTTGTTTCTTGATCATTTTTTTGTTTATATTTCAGGTTTATGTACACCTTATGTTACAGACTTTCTTAAGTCTGAGCATAAAAAAGCATCTGAGTGCAAGGTTACAAGAAGTACAAATGGGACGTATGAAGTAAAGTTGGGTTCATGCACTCACCGTGTTAGCTTGGAGAGGAGGACTTGCACATGCATGAAGTTCGAAATCTGTGGAATCCCTTGTGAACATGCTTATGGAGTGATACTGCATAAGAAGTTAGTCCCTGAAGAGTATGTGTGTCAGTGGTTTCGCACAACTACATGGCGAAGAAACTACAGAGATGGTCTTGTACCTGTGCGAGGTGCTGAGTTCTGGCCTAAAACGGGTGCTCCTGATGTCCATGTTCCTCCTGAACCGCCTCAACCTGGTCGAAAGAAGATTACCAAAGCGGATAAGAAAAGGAAGAAAGGAGTAAATGAATCACCAACAAAAAAAGCAGATAAGAACAAGAAACGTATTATGCATTGTAAACGGTGTGGAGAACCGAATCACAACTCAAGGTTTCACAAGAAACAGGTTTGTTCTTTTTTTGCAGGCTTCTCATTGTAAATCCACTAATGTGACTTTTGTTTTTTTTTTTGCAGGCTTCTCAAGGTCCTCCTCGAGTTCCTTCTCAGGTTGCTTCTCCAGCTGCATCTCTGACTGCTTCTCAAGGTCCTCCTCGAGTTCCTTCTCAGATTGCTTCTCCAGCTGCATCTCTGACTGCTTCTCAAGTTGTTTCACCTGCTGTTGCTTCACCTGCTTCTTCAGCTTCTGGTTGTCATGTTCTCCACGGGTATGAAGACATGTGCTGATGGTCTTGGTAGATCTATTTTATGTTTAATTTTTCTCGGAATGTGGTATGAAGACATGTGCTGATGGTCTTTATCTCTTGGCAGCTAGTTTCTATTTTATGTTTTAAGTTTTTTCGGAATGTGGTAGTGATCCTTTTTTCTAGACTGTTGTCGGCTTTAAGTGTGTATTTTAACACTTCTTTTGTTCAAAACCTATGATATTTATCCTTTTTATGTCTAATGCCTCTTTCTTTTCAACAAAGTGTCTCAAAAGTATGGTCTTTAACATTGAAAAACAAGTCATTAACCATTGAAAAACATAGTCATCTTAACAAGTCTTACATACCATGAGAACATAACCATTTTGAAAACACAACAAGCATAACTAAACATAACCATTTTGTTCTTTATCTCATTCACCATACTTTCAGAAGAAACTCCATGATACCAACCAACAACACACATCCAACGACAGCTGCTAGCATCATTTTCTTCATGCTACCTTTACCTTCAGCCAACACTTCTTCCACCTTATCAAACAGCTCTTTCTCCACTTTCATTTGAACTCTCTCACCCATGATGATCTCATTTCTTCTCATTTCCCTCAACTCTTCTTCAAGTCTTGCACTTTTGTATTCAAGTTTTTCAACCTCATTTATCAATGCCTCATCAATCCATTTGAAGACATGATTATCATTCTCAAGCTAAAAATAACAACACAACTTATTAGTGAACCTAATTCAAACAACACAACAATTTCACAACACATCTAATGAGAGAGAACTCATCTTCTGTCTTACAGCATGGGCACAACGAAAATACCTTCGGTAAGGATTGAGGTTAGATCTCGACATCAGAGGAACAATTTCTTCACCACACCAGCATCTCTTCGGAATCCCATTTATCACTCCACCTCTGCGACGAGAACTCACTCCACTCGATGCTCCTGATTTGTTAATCGAATCTTCTGACATTGTTCTCTCAAAGCTTCAATCAAATAAGAGAGTTTTAGGGTTCTTATTTTCAATTGAAATAGGGATTTCTGGAGTTGTCGGGTCGAGTTTTATTATGGTTCTGGTCCGAGTTTAGGTTTGGTCGGGTTTTATTATGGTTCTGGTTTAGTATTGTTTGGTTTGGCGTTCAAAACCGTGGTTTGACTTTCGATTAACAAAATCGTGACAGAACCAAGATTGGTGGAGAAATAGAATTCGAAATTATTAATCGGGGAGAAACGGAACGAGGCAATAGTTTGGGAGACATCTGGTGCTATATGATACTACTCGTGGGGAAATAGATCGTCTACCCTTTTTTTTATAGTAAAATGGAATTAGATCAAATATATCTAGATATTAAAGTTTTTTTGGTATAATATTATGTGTTGGATTGTTTAATGACTCTAACATTCTTAATTGTTTCAAACACACAAATATATTATAACAAGTGCATAATTTTCACGTTCTCACACCTTCCTCGGCGTGAAACCGGTAAGAATTTTTCTTACAAAAAATACTTTTCTGACGCATTAAACCAATTTTCTAACGACTCCCGAGAAATAACAATAAAGAGATGCTCACACCTTACACGAGTTAGCTAGTCAACTGACAATTGTTACAATGTTCATCAAAACATGTTCCATACATTCATGATCATGAATCATCAGTTAGTCCTCATCACATACTGCGAGAACAATACAGGAAGTATTACTTCTGTATTTTAATTTCTATTCACAATGGCTATCACCACCGATGCAACCGTCAGATTCTCCTTCGGTGGATGGAAATCTGCGAGGCTCATCAT